CGAGCTTGCGTTTGTCTCCTCTTCGATTACTGACTGCATACTATCAAAGTCCACAAAGTGTGCAGTTTCTAAACCATTTGCCTCGGTTTTGGCATTATGTACAAGCCAGCTGTCTACTAAAATTTCCATAAAACGAGCGTTTGCTGCAGGTACGAGTTTGTTATCCAAATGCAGCTCTTTTTTGATGGATGCAATTTTCATCTTCAGCGACTCCAGGCGGCCTTCTTCTTCTTTGTTTAACTCTATTTTGAAGTCGTCCCTGACCTTTTTAGCCTTTAAAGACTCTTCCTTTTCTTTGTAGTACTCAGAATTTCGGATTTTTTTGTTCTGAATAGAACAGTTTGGAGGTGCATTTGCACTATGGCGGCCTAGCATGGTCGCAAAACGTATACATACGAACACATAACTTCTGTTTGTTTTGTTGTTTTACTTTCCCGCCGCCAAAACTCAAAGTACAAGCCTCACTATCGTACAGAACCTACAGGCATGCTCAAGTTATAGAAATAGATGATCTTTATGATTGCAGGCCCTTTTTCTCAACGGAGGACATGCGTTCATCGATCTTGAGCGCCCGCGAAATTTGAATTTTCTCCGAACGGGAAAGAAGTTTTCGCTCGTTTCTTGAGTTTTTTGTCTAAGAACGACATTTAAGACACTCTTGAAAAGGTAAGCAAATGGTGGGGGTTGTAAATAAATAATTTAATGTATCATTTCTTGAAAGCAGACAACAAGAGATTTAGCAGAAGATTTATAACGATAGTGACCGTTGCAGAAAGCCGCCATTATCGGTGCGAAGGAAGCCAACAAAGTGCAAACCGCTAACCTTTTATAGGCTCGCTCCGTGTTTAAGGTCACGAGTACTAAATTATCAGATAAATTCTCCTTCTCGGTTCCTCAGGAATGTACAGAGAACAGTATGGAGAGTATGCACACTGACCACACACTGGTTCATTGTTCACGAGTTCTATTGTACACTAGTTCATCAGCTTTGTTTTCATTCATTGCACTCAAAACGTACCCGATAAATCTTTCCCCACAAGCAGTTTTCTCATTGTCTTCCAGCCCTGTTTTCTGTCTAATTCCTCATTTTCGATTTCTCCATGACAACCCTTCGGTCGCTGCCGCCTTTTAATAATCGCCAACCGATGAGGAGTTAAGAACTCAAAGTATCCAAGCAAGCCACACACAACACTTTGTTCCATCATTAAATCAGCGTCGATGCGCTTGAAAGGACGAACTTGTTCGACTAATAACAGCTGAGTGTAAATATTGGAGCAAATTTTGTCGTGTACTTTTTCCAAAGAGCTTCGGAAACGGTTTTGTCTTTCTTGAGACATGTCATACAGGCATCCTGAGGAGAGAATACATCAATACAATTATCTATCAATTTATCAACCCCGATCCATCTTGTTATCTGTTGATGATTAGTTAATGAATTGATCAAAGGCTAATCTTTTGAAATGATTCAATTGAAGGATTAAGCAACTAGGTCAGCAGGTTAGGTCCGGACGTCAGCGAAATGACCACACCAGTCACGTGTTCAATTTTTTCAATTGACTGGTCAGAGACAGTCGTTCGGTCGATCAGTCTGTCAGTTAGTCAGTCTGTTGGTCGGTCAATCAGTCAGTCGGTCTGTTTCTTTGTCAGTCAATCAGTGAGTCAGTCAATTAATCAATGAGTCAATCAATCAGTTACCTAGGCATTCAGTGAATCAGTCATTCCTTCAGTCAATCAGTCTATTCGAAAGTCACTCGGTCGGTCCGTTCGTCTGTCACTCACATAAGAATTAAATCAGTCAGGTGGACAACTAATCCGCCTTCTGAACTAAATTGATAGCCACTTATTTTGCCAATATCTTTGCTCAGTTACCGATACTGTCTCTCACGGCAAAGACGGTTACCAACCTCTTTGCTCACCAAACATGAAATAAAGTGCTTGATGCGTCAGCACGTATACAACCTCTCCCCGTCGCATCATCACTTCCAAGCATTCCTTAGGCATGTCACACGGCCTACTCCCATATAAGGCACTGCCAAGTATCCTGGCCAGACAGGGCTGATACTCATGCAGAATGTCATCAGAAAGTTTCTTCTTGTCGAACGGTGTTACGAATGTAGTTTTTATTTTCTTATACTTTTTTATTGTTATCCAGGGCTGTGACACTGTGTATCCAACCATTTTGAAGTAATGCCTATCTCTGCGCCTTAGTGAAGCCATCGATTTTGAACTAAGTAGTAACTAACTAATGGCCATAGTAAAGTGTAAAAAAGCTAACATGAGAGACTTGATGCTGAAGTTGAACGACTTGCTTGAGAATGCAAGACTTCGTCAACACTTTGGTCGTTTATTTTGTCAGATTAACTCATATAAAATACCTGAACAAGAAAATGTGTCGATTATGTTAGAGAGGTTAGGAAATATCAGAATTATTACCGATTCTAGCGCATATCAAGGTAAAAAATTACGTTTCGTTTAACCTAAAGCCAAAACAAAATGCCAATATAGGCCTTTCGTTTCAATTAAAAAAACATTTCAAAAAACTGAGGAAAAATCGCTTGTAATTAAGTTACATGTTCGCTTATGGAACACTCAGTTCTTACCTTGCGATACGAAGACCAAAATATGCGTCTAAATTTAAATCTTCGCCATATTCTTTGTAAACACTGCCTTTTCGAGAGCCGTTAACACAGGTGTTAAAGATTGATCGAGTGGTGTGATCGGCTAGTCCCGTTTAGAGAGATCTCCAAAGGCTGTCGTCAGAGAAGTAAACTTTTACGTTCCGGTTTTATTCCTGGGGGGAATGAAATACGGCAAACCAAAATCGTTGATAAGGATCAAAGACCCAGTTGATTCATCCTCCAGACCGAGGACCGAAAAATTGAAGTATACCCCTAAGCCATGCTGTTCTTTTTAGATCATTTCGCCAACCGCAAGGAAGTCGGTCTAATTGCCATTCGAAAAAAACCTTTAATGTATGTAACCATTTTAAAAGTGCAGGTGACTTTCGTTTGCGTCAGGTGAATCTATATGCTTATAACTTGAACTAGATTTTCTAAAATTAACTGTTTAGCAAGTCTTTTCAGTTAAAAAAGACACGACCCGGATACGCGGGTGTGCTCTTCATTCCGACAGAAATTAGAATTTGATGTACAGCTGTCTCTCACCTGCCATGGTCATTTAGACACGGGTCTACTCACATGGTAGTGGTGATACCATCAAGTGGTGATAAAAAAGTGAATTCTAATGTACTATGAAGGCATTAAAGATATCTAGAAATGATGATGTCGGGGTAAAATGAAACGACCTACCTACCATTGGACTGATTGGCAAGAATATTCTCATTTTTCCCGGGAATATTGATTCTTCTCGCAACTTCTCGTTATCCTTTTTCTATTTAATTTACTTGAACTCTTTCCATTGCAAAAATCTCTCTCAAACACATCCTTAATAATTTATTAGTAAGTTATTAAAGTATTCATGCTGGGGTCCTTTATAATGTCTTAAGAAATTAAGACACCCAAATCTTAAAGTCAATATCGTGGCATTGGACCACTAGGTCTAACAAACAATCCTTTTTGCCTTCTTTTTTCTTCCTGTGCTAAGTAAAATAACCTTCCTTTCACTATTTAGGTCGGCCACTTTCAACAAATGCTCCAGGTATAAAACCACGTAAAGAGTCTCAAGAACAAATGCCAGTTCTCTGTTTGAAGATTGCAGGTTGCTAATTGATATGCAACCAGAAAAAGTTACATTTTTATTGCCATACAATAAATGGTGAAATACCAAACAATTCGCAAAACATTAAATAAGAACAATTATTTCCAATTGCATAAATAATTGATTAAACACATTACCAGGCTAATCAAATGAAAATATTTTTGTTGTTAATGCTCAAGCTTGGCGACATCATGAGGTTCGCTTATTTATTAATTTTTTTACTGACTTTTTCAGACCGTGCGAAAAGATTACTCTGATTATTGCAAATCATTTTTCTTTGTGTCATTCACTGGTATTTGAAACTTTTCAGGACTGCACGCCTCTCAACAAAGGATTATTTGCTTTTCTTTCATCTTAAAGCAATATTCTGAATAATAGTCCTCAAAAAACTTATGACAATAGCGGTTCGCGCGAAAGTTAACCAGCCGTCATTACTATTGACCGCTGGTGTCTCACAGGGATCCTCCATTAATAAAACTTTTTTTTTTAATTGACGATACGAACTGCTCTGTATGTGCCACATAGCTGCGTCCCTACATCTACTAATCTTGCTGATGACCCGCCCATAATACTTGAGCAATTAATAAACATTGGCTTACACAAAATAACAAAATAGTTTGCCCTTAGATTTGCAACAGCAAGTACTCGTGCGACACAAGCCCATATCGTCGCACCTTAAAGATACAATCATGAACTTCGCCTCAATGGTGCTCCTATCCTCATCACTGAACGGTCGACTCCACTGATTCGGACGGTCGACTCCAAATTTTCATTTCGGGTTGGTATCTCGATCGAGCCGTAGAAGACTTTAGCTAGAATCACCGCCCTGAGCAGAATGAGAGGCCAATTTTGAACCCTATCAGGAGTACTGCGGTCCTCCTTTTCTCGGAATGAGTGACAATCAAATTGCAAAGTCTGGAGATTCTTATTATTATAGCATAAGATAAATCCTTGGGTATCCTTATGAATTCATTATGAAAATCCCGAAGCAACCGAAATATTGCAGTCGAACTTGTATTCAGCGGTCAGCTATGAAGAATGGCGGAGTGAACTGTTTACTGATTCAGTTGACATCATCCGCTGTATGTTTCACGTGTACATTATTCATTTGTGCAAGTGCTTTTATGCTTCGCATAATAAACACTTGACGATTGAATAAGTAAGTTGGCACAAGTCGCTGATATGATTAAAGAACAGAGAGACATCACTGTATCTCAAAACAGTCAAGTTTGCTTTTTGACGCTCCTTACTAGTCCTTAGGATCTTTCTTATCCATATTTTCATTAGCACCGTTCATCTTCGTCGTCGTCATAGTTATCGTTGTCGTTGTTAACTTTTCCGTCTTCGTCGTCGTCGTTGCTGTCACCATCGTCATCATCATCGTCTTTGCCTTCGTCATCGTCTTCGTCATCATCATCGACACCGTCTTCTTCTTCGCCATCGTCATCGTCATAGTAATCGGCCAGTGCATTCCAATCTGTCATGATGCTATAACGTCTTGCGTCGGCGATGTAACTAGAAAATTTATTGTGGTTGACAATTGTAAAGCCTGTTTCAGCAGTGGAACTTTTCACTAACAAATATTCTGGTCCGTATGTTTCCCATACTGAACACTCTACGAAGTCCTCACTATTTCCTGCTGGGGATCCTCCTGTCCTGGATATTTTCTGTGTGCAGCTCCGGTACATGACTGGTGTCCACTCAGGTGAAAAGGCGTCATTTTGAACTCCATTAGAGGAACTTTCCGCTGGCGAAGAATCTGGCTCGAAAAGCTCATGGTTCCTCCAGTTCTGGTTTCTTTCAGATTTCTGTCCTAATACGGTCTCCAGAATTCTTTTAATTATAAATTGTGCAAGCTCATAGTCTTCTCCTTCCCTGTCAGCGTTCGAGGTCGCATAATATTCATTTATTACGGCGAGAAACATATTCAAAATAATTACACTGGTGCTGCAGAAGAAAGTGAAAAAGAAAAGGCTGCCTATGATAGGATTTGTTTCCTTCAGCTTATCCACTGGGAATGGTTGTCCCAAAAGCATTAGAAACTGAAAGGAAATACCGTCATGCACTTGGGCGAACATCTCTACACTGGACCCAAAGGCAATGAACCCTAATAGCGCATGGGCCATCGCTGCAATCAAAAACACTATAAAAAAAGAAGCTATAGGTTTAAACAATCTACGAAGTGTCCTTGTAAAAACAATTATTTTTGGATTGAAATAGAAGCATTTTAGAAGACGTAGTGTAGCAATCACGGTAGTTACACAAATAGCCACCTCTTCAAACTCTAACAAAAGTAAGACACGATGGAAGCTGACTGGAAGGTAAGGGTTATCTTTCAGCTTTTCGAAAGTCTTTGTGGCCACTTTAGTCCGCATCCACTGCAGTAACATCGCTGATGATGCCGTGATTATCTGCAACATATCCAACAAATTCCACATCGACTTGAAATAAGAACACTTTTGGCGGCAGAGTTTGATGCACTGGACAACGAAGAAGCAAACAAGAAGAATGCCAAACAACAACACGAACAACAAATAAGTGCTATGAGCTATAGAGTTCGTTGCGCTCAGAGACAAAATTCCATAGCTCTTGAACGTGACAGCAAATCCAGAAGGAAGGACTTCGAAGTAGTACGTCATCACCGCAAAAAGGTTACTCGGAGGATTATACAGCGAGAACTCCACCAGCACAGCTCTGGTCTGACCATCGATCCAGCGGTTTTCTTTCAAGTCGTTGATAATCCTTTTAGCTGTAAGCCTATTGTAGCCTAAATTAGCAATGTATCCTCCACCACTGTAAACAGCAAAACGACCCCAGGAATCAAAGCCGCCAAACCTTCTATCTGTATTATACTCCCAATTTTCTGGGCACAGAACTGAGGAGCCATTCATCTTTCTAGGGTAAATCCAAGTTCCTTTTTCCTCCTTTGTGGGCGAATAGAAATCGAAACAAGATGTGATCGTGTTTTTAAACAATTCTTGAACTTCACAAGAATCTGCAAGGGAAAGAAAAAATGTCATTATTTGAACATGACTGTTTCAACACCTTAAATCCCCTCTTTGGTGAGTTTGTGGAGCTCATCTGTAAAATTTTGATTATTAATTTCTATATCGTAAAATCCATCTCAATTTAGTCATTTTCTCTGTTCCAAAATTTGTTCCCATTAGAGCATTAAAAGTCGTTCAAGTTTTGATGAGTGTGAATTCTGTCCTCAATCAGTTTCTTGGTCACTTTTTCAGAAAAGTGAATTTCGGACGTAGTGGTTATAATCAAAGTCAGTGAAATAAGTTGACAGCAAAATCTCAGATAGAAATTCCAATACAATGATCTCTTTATTATAGATGATATACTTACTTTCCTTAACCCTTAGTTGCCGCAAGCGAGGCATACCGACCAGAATTGATCGCTTATTTCCAATGTATTCTGAAACTCTTTCTTCATGTCCATTGTACCAATCGTCAACAAAAGCTGCAGGCAAAAAGATGTTTTCGATCCATTCCCAAAACTGAGTGGCATCGGTGATCTATTTTTTTAAAAATGTGTTTAAATTGTCATCAGCATACAAAACGAAATCTTAAATAAATCTTGAATAAGTGATTCTCTATTTGCGATAACCTCATGTGTGATAAAAGCTTCCAGGAGCTTCAGGAAAGGATTAAAAAATTGTATTATAATCAAAGAAAAAGACGTACTCTCAAGAACACTTATATCTGATGGGTCTGACTTCCTATTTTACGTCAGCATGTTTTAAAAAATGTCTAGAATTATCACTGTGATAGTAATGGTGCACATCCATCACATACTTGAGAGAAATGATAGATTTGATGGAGAAGACTTACAATATAGAAGTAGTGTTTAAGGGTGTATAAGGGTGGTAAAAGATGGCGAGGATTCCAAAGAGCAAACTTTAAAAATTCAGCTGCTTCTAGGTCCTACAGAAACTATTGGCTCCTTCGCAAGGGTTGCAATTTCGTGATTTTATGCTTACCATC